TAATCTTGATATGTGGAGGTATGTTAATATTCAATAATTATGCATACTTTACAGAAAGGAAAGAAAATAAAACAAGACAATATTTATGAAAGTTATCATCTGATCTTTTACATTTTATCATCTGATCTTTTTTATTACTTTTGGGATTTATCCATTAAGTTGAAGAAACATATTTTTCCCAAAGCGGTCCTGACGTCCAGATAGCGAAGTTTCCATTAAAATCCACTCAACGATAAGAAGAGTGCCTTCTGGTGGCGTGATTAATGTCTCATTCCTATTCATACCCTCAAGACCTTGGCAATACCGACCAGACCTCAGTTAACGTCGTTTTCTCGATACCGGACGCATATTTTGTACTTTTTTGGTGCCAGTGTAAGGCCAAGATTTCCACTGAGGTCGGCCTCACCGCCGTCCGTTGGCCAAGAAACAGAAAACGTCTGCATCAGTTTTGTGAAGCACAAGAAGTTCGTTGCAATTGACAGATCTTTCCCAAGGCAGACCCGACGCCCTATATAGGAGAAAATAAAACGAGAGCACAAACGTAGGGAGTCATTGTAATGAATTGACGTAATAAAGTAATTGTGCTTGCGGCTCACGATTGGATTACTACCTAATCCTGGATTTGAATACAATGCATCAGTGTCGTGTCCATCGTGAACTAATTTGATGATTCCTTCGGGCTGTTCATGTGAAGTTTCGAAAGGTACCTAATTTACAGTCGGAGAAGTCATCCTTTGAATTGAAGATCGAGAGACTCTACGGCCTGTTCTGCATGTAGAGCCTACATTAACACTGTAACCTATGGCTTTCAACTATATTCATCTCTGCTTTTTAGTGCGAATTTCTTATCATTCCAAATGCTAACGAAGAACGTTAAAAGTGAACCAACCGGCTCCAAATGGTATGAAAGCCTCTGGCACAATGACGCGCCGTCCCTCATCGGCCAGGAATCGTGACGGGTCAAACCTTTCGGGGTGGCTCCACAGTGTTGGGTCGTGCAGCACCGCCCAAAGATTCACCCATATCTGTGTACTGCTTGGGATCCGCATGCCTTGGAGTTCTACATCACGATTGGTGCAGCGTGGGGGTACGAACGGTGCAGCTACTCTGTACCGCTGAACCTCCATGATGGTTGCTGTGGTGTACGGCATGGAGGCACTATCGCTCATAGAAGGACCTCGACTCCCAGTGACAGAATCAATCTCTTTCTGAACCTGCAATTTCATGATGTAACCATTTCAGTCCGTGTCTGTCTCCCACAACGGTTCTTATAGAACCTTTGGCTCTAGCCAGATTGCCAATTTCTACATCTATGTTTTATATATACAGCGTTATCTGTATCATGCATCATAACGAAAAGTGTGAATAGTCTGAACTACATGCAGATGTGATTATTTGAACACTTCAAGACGCACGAGAGTAGTTTATTCTTGACGAGGGGCCCTGTCTGAAAACGACACTGTCAGAATTGTGCAAAAACAGCCCAAAACTTACTTTCGTTTGTACATCCGGGTACTGTGTCATCAGAAGCAATGCCCAGAGAAGCGTGTTTGTATTGGTGTCAGTGCCGGCAGCGAATAAATCATAAATGGACCGTGCAATCAGCTCATCAGTAAAAATCGACTCTTCACTGTTGATACCTCTTTCCCGTTCCTTCAGCCTCTCGTTCAGCATTGTATCTATCACATCTCTCAGGTTGTCAGGATTAAAGCTTGCGTTATGCTCCCTGACCATAGCACGGTTAAAGTCGAACACCTCACCCAGTGCTCTGCGAATGCCGCTGAATCCCGGAAGGTGTGATACAACTGGCAGGGTGCGTAGGATGGAGCCTACAAAGGAGCAGTGAAGCACCATGTCTAGGTTGGACAAGGTACGCATGAATACTGGGTCACTGTAGCTGAAACGCTTGCCGTAAGTGATGGAGCATATAATATTGGACACAGACTTCATAACGATCTTGGACGGATCAAACGGGTGGCCGCCTCGCTTACTGAATTCCTCACAAAGGAAGCAAGTTTCCTCGTTGATGTTTCGTTCTGCATTGCTTCTTACGCCACGACGATGAAGGGCTGAGAGTACAGCATGACGTCTAGTCTTCCAGGCTGTCCCATTCTCAAATATCAAACTGCCTAAAGGCAAAAATACAAATATGAAATTGCGAGTTTAAAGATTTTGAAGTCCTATAATCCACGTATGACGAGTAGAAAAAAGACTTTTGTGTTTTGACCACCCCTTGCAATCTCATTCCAGCATGACGCAGTGTCATGAGGGCACCGCGAGTGGGACCAAGAGAGGGCGCAATTTTTTGAGTAGCGGAGACTCCTTTCCTGGGAACTGGACTTCGCTGGTTCACAAACGACCATGCATGTGCGTTACGGTGGTGTCGTTACCAACAAAATTAACATTCCCCAACTAGCATGGCTCTTTACAGCCGATGAGGGGGCGCTTCTGCTCCAACTGCGGCGCCGATGAATCAACATGTGAGATTTGGGTATTCTAAATGCAATGGTCTAATAATTGCTGCTCATCAAACATGCACACAAAAAACATGTTCCTACCAACACTAAAACAGCTTTAGTGGAGACAATTGCGGAAAGAGCTCCACACACGGCCATCATTTGACACCCTGTGCCATGAGATGAGACTGGTCTGATTTTTTTAAAGTAAATGCTTAAATATTTCCCACTAATCGGTCTGACGAAATCGGTCTGACGACCGATTTACCACTGTAGAGATAATAAATTATGTCTGCATATAGTACTCTTTCCAAAATGGCAAATCCATATGAAGCCTACCAAACTCATTCGTAGTGAAGAATCACTAAGTTTCTGTTTCAGCCATGTCCACTTATTCGTAATGTGGCTGAAAAATCCCCCATTCATGTCGCATATTTGTTTTGTTTTCGTGAGACCACTATCCCACAAATATAAGTTACATGTCTGAACACTCAAGTTTTAGGAGTTTCGATACTGAGTGTCACAGTGCATGGTCTTGGCGGTCCCAAAATTGGGGAAAAGTTTTTAACTTAGCTTGGAAACTCATGGACACAGCGCCCCCTTTGATGCTGGAACTTCGCCACACAGAAGACGACATGTACAGCATTTGCTTTTTTCTCTTGCCTCAATCACGATTGCCAATGTCTTGCACCTTGACATGCTTTCAAAATCCGTGCGTGACAGAGACGGTAGAGACCAGCAAGAGAGAAGCAATTCTTACACAGTAGAAATAAACACGACGAAAATAGTTGATAGCAACACTGAGAACAGTCCAGTCATCGCTTTTGTACCCAAGGGACGGTGTCAAACGAACAGGATCCAAGCAATGAGTTGTTATACGTACCTTGGAGTTTGATTGTTCGTTCCATTGTCTTGAAAGTAAACCGGTCTGAGAAGACATCAGCATGTTGCACGAGTGCTTCTTTGATCATGCGGTAGTCGTTGAGAACTATCAGTGGATCCGTCCCTATGTGCAGAGTGAATGCCTTACCGTAGATTTTACCTAGCTTGGTTACTTCGATGTGTGATGAGGTCGTGAACAGTTGGGGACTGCCGATCAACGGCACATACCATGGCCCCGCTGGTAGCTGGGACCCAGGCCTATGCCGAAGGCCTACGCGGTAAAATAACCAGACAGCCGCAACAAAAGCAGTAATGAGCACAAAAACAATCGTCTGTTCATCTTTAACTGGGATACCAGCACCACTTAATACTACCATCTCGGTACCTGGCGTCTAGATCGGCGAATGTACGAACCAGACATGATGTTAATGCACAGCCTTCACGCTTGGGCTAATATAGTTGTGAAGTGTCTGCTCTGTGTTAGGTGTCATTCATATGCTAAACCAGTCTATATAGGTAAAGGTTCATCCGGCCTCAAAATGGACGTATGTACAACAGCCTTAAAAAGAATGCCATCAAATAACCCCATGGCAACGTTTGGAAAGCGGCATGGTGTGCCGAAGTGAGAAATATTGTATCATATTAGAGCTTTTATTACAAATAAAGCGCGCAGAGTCGCTTCTAGTAAACTTTGGCCAAGAATAGACATCGTAGTCTACCTCACTGTCGTCGGGCCATCTAGGAAATTTAGGCTGATTGATACTCTGTGCAAATATCACGATATGTCACGTTGTACATCAGAATGATTGTGTGTGGAAAACAAGGAGCTAGCCTATGTGAACTAATTAATAAGCTCTCACATGCATTCAATTTTTGTGACAAAAACACATGGTAGAAGTCCTGCAGCCGATTTGTAAGCAATGGGACATGCGTAACTTCACCAACATGGTATTTATTGCATAAGTTACGCAGTAACAATCATTTCACAAGACTTACGCTCTGTGTATGCCTTCGACGCGCATAAAAATTTATGGCGTAACTTATACAGTTATCTTAGGTGCTTTTGAAGCCCCAAACAAATCGATATTGGACGATTTTAATAATCAATCATGTACTTAAGCTGTAATTAAATAAAGCTCTCCATGGCTGAATCACTGAGGATTTATGCGAAAAATCTACAAATATTTTATGGAGGGGTAATAAAAAATGGAAAACTTGTTCGTGAGAAATTATTGCCTTTTAACGAAGAAATTATATTCGTATTGTGCGTTCACTTTCGTACTGATTTCTATAGTTTGTAGAGGGCGGTATACCAGAGTAATGGTTTCGTAATACATCATGCACACATGAATGTGATCATACATTGTGGCTCTTTACATTGGACGGAAGAACAGTCGTTGCACTGTAGTGGTTGTGTAAAATTGAAATTGTCCGTGCGAACACTTACTGTCGGGATGCATATGTAGCACGGAAAAATGGCACCCTAAACTAAATCTGAATAAACAAACAAAAAAAAACACCAGAATTTGGGGAACTCGCTAAAATAAAAACTTCAAATTTGATCGGGTAGGGAGGAGTCACAAGGAAAATTTGGTGGAGGCAAACAACCGCAAATTTTATAGAAACGAGGAAACAAAACAAAAAATGAAATTCCAAAATTTGTTGCTTAGGGGCAATGCTCAACAGAATCCAAACAACGGTATAAAAAAGAAAGTGTCTAACCACAAATTCAATCAAACTTGTCATTACTGGACCGAGCCCAGTCTAATGTGGCTTTCTTCGTTTTCATGGGGGTCTAGCGCTAAACGGGTATATATCACTTGTCGCTG